TCTAAGAAATGACTAGAATTGAACAATCGCGACTTTAGCTTATCTCTTGCTAACAGGTGGCTCACTGGGATTACGTGCTCTCGACCCGTGACCGACACTAAGTCGAGTCACGTTTAAGTTTACTCTAACCAGGACGACCTTAGTTGTTATGTAATTGCGAGGGTCTGTCGCTAGTTCCCTTCGGACACGATCAATCAAATAGATCGGTCTCTATTGGCTCAAAACATTCCCTCGTCAATCCTTATGGTCGAAGGTCGGACCAAGGTCGAGTTCTCTGGTCGTGCGAACTCAATCCCGTAATGGCCTTACCCCTAAGGTTAGCATCCCGAGAATGCACGGTTCCGGGTGAGATCTCATTATAAGTGCATTGACCAAAATATTCATTTCATAAATCCCTGGAAAATGATCGAAAATTTAGAATGTTGCAACTTTACTTAAATGCATCTCATGCTCTTTCGGGCTCTTCGAGTAAATCAATATGTCGTCTATAAAGACTATGACGAACTGATCCAAGAACTCCTTAAACACCCGATTCATTAGATCCATAAAGGCAGCAGGGGCATTAGTTAATCCAAACGGCATCACCATGAACTCATAATGTCTATATCTTGTCCGAAATGCCGTTTTTAGCATATCTTCCTACTCGATCCTCAATTGGTGATACCCAGTCTTTAAGTCAATCTTAGAAAATACCGATGCTCCTTGTAGCTGATCGAACAGATCGTCTATCATTGGTAGTGGGTACTTATTCTTGATAGTTATCTGGTTCAACTGTCTAGAGTCGATACACAACCTCAAAGTTCCATCCTTCTTCCTCACGAACAAGACTGGCGCTCCCCACGGAGACGCACTTGGACGAATGAACCCTTTGTCCAATAATTCTTGCATTTGAACCTTCAATTCCTTCAACTCAGACAATGACATTCTGTAAGGCACCTTCGAGATTGGCTCAGTCCCAAGGGCCAACTCAATTACAAATTTCACTTCTCTTTCTGGTGGCAATCCCGGCAATTCTTGAGTAAAGACTTCGGAAAAGTTGCACACCACAGCTATATCTTCCAACTTTGGATTCTCTGCCGTCAAATCAACCACAGTTGCTAGAAACCCTTCGCACCCTTCGTCCATCAACTTTGTCACCTCAAGTGATGAAATTCAAGGGATCAAAGTTCATCCTAGGCTTTCCACAAACTCGAATCTAGGGTGTCCAACTGGATTAAATTGGATCACCCTGTTACCACAATCCATTATAGCTTTCTTTTTAACCAACCAATCCATATCTACAATCACACAAAATCAAGCATAGGTAAGACTGCTAAATCTATCATTTCCTCTCTATCTCCAATCACTATCTTATAATTCGGACATCCTAACTATATCATCACTTTATCATTCAAAGGCGTGGTAACACATAGCATAACTTTTAGTAGATTCGATTCAATTCCAGTCAATTTAACGAATTGCTCAGATATAAACGAGTGCGATGCCCCCGGATCAAACAAAGCATATGCAGCATGATCACACAGAGAGACCGTACCTGTACCATGCTAGGCGCATCCTCAGCTTCCCTTCTCGCCATCACATATACTCGTCCTTGAGCTGGCGGCCTATTCGGAATAGGCGGCGGGGTAGCTCCCATTTGATTTCTATTCCGGGGTCGCTGCGGTAGCACAGGCGGCCTAGCCTGTCTATTGTTGGGGCAATTCCTCATTTGGTGGCTCGTTCCATCACATCCAAAACACGCTCCGCTCCTATTCTGAAAGTGGCTCGACTTCCCAATGTTGTTCCTGACGGGAGGGATAAAGCGTCGATTCCCCGCCATTGGCCTCTGGCCGAAGTGGCGGTTGTCCTTAGCCGGGGCATACCGTGATCCAGAGGCGGCAGCTCGTTCCTTCTAATCTTGCTCAATAGCCTGAACCCGCTCATACAACTCATTATAGTCTCTCAGATTCAATGAGATCATCTGACTACGGAGGTCCGACTTCAGTCCATCTCGGAACCTCCGGGCTTTGTCCAATGGGTCCTCCACCATCCTTGAAGCATACTTGGACAATCTTGTAAACTCGGTCTCATACTGGTCCACTGACAGCTGACCTTGGCGGAGTCTGAGAAATTCAGTTATCTTCTGTTCCTGGGCACCCTCCGAGAAGTTCTTGCCATTGAAGGCCTCCTTGAAATCGGTCTAAGTTTGTGCCGTACCCGCAGGGAACACCCTTCCACTGGTGGCCCTCCACCGATCACTGGCATTTCCTTGTAGTTGATACACTGCCAGGGTCACCTTCTCGCCTTCTGTGCATCCCAGCATGGCAAAGGCCTTTTCCACTTCTTCCACCCAGATCGATGTAGTCTCAGGATCACCTTTCCCATCAAACTTAAGAGGCTTTAGCTTTAAAAACTGTTCCACCAACTGATGCATCTGATGATTTGCATTATTCCCATTGTTTCCAAGGTTCCCATTATTTCCGTTATTTCCATTAGCCCCGTTGGTGGCGGCGACGGCAACAGTGGCCTCTGCAGTAGCAGTAGCAGTAGCAGCTCACTCTTGGGTCTGTCTACCCCTTAAAATTCCAATCTCCTCAAGTGCCCTCAATATTCCATCCACTCTAGGGTCCTCTGCAGCTCTAGCTCGCGAACCCAATCGGCCTCTTGTCCCTCTTCCTCGGTTGCTCATTGTTACAGGGTTCTCACCACTCTCCTACCTGCTATAATTCCATTAAGGAATTAGAGACCTAGGCCAACTATACCAGTCTAAAGCCTAGGCAAAGATCCACATCAATAATTCACAAAGCAGGCAGTCAATCACAAACAACACCAGATCATAACCAACAGGGTTCATGCACTTACCTTAGGTCCTGACGTACCTATACTGTCACATGTTATTGCACCCAATCACTCAGCAATCACAATCAAAGAGTCTGGAGGCACGCATAACACACAAGTCTCCCTAACTGTCTACCCCCAAGGTCGTCGCTCCTTATCACTCCAAGTCTCGACCAACTTGGATCGAGCTGACCTTGCTCTGATACCAAATTAAAGGGGATGTCATGCCCCGAACCCCACCGAGCCCGCGACATCCCTCCGTGGTCGTATTTCGAATGCGATGTCCCAGGACTCGTCGTCGACCCAAACGAAACTTCAAGTATAGAATGCACGCAGAAGCAATTATAACACCCAAACAAGATTAAAGACCAAGGGTAGTAGGAGAATACTTGAACAAATCAACTACATGCTTCATTCAATGACACGTACTTACAAAGTCCAACCTTACATACAAAAGGCCACTAGGGTTAAAACAACCATCATAAAAAAAAGGACAAGTGGTCGGGTAGGCTAGCCTAGCTATACAAAAAGGGTCCACCAACTCTATAGGCTCATCTTCAGGGTCTTACTCTATCGGCTCTTCCTCGGGATCCCAAAACGCTGTGACGAACCATTTATGGTCGGGATAGGGGGTCTGAAATAGTTATATAATAACCATGAATATGAGTCTCAATAAGAAAGCACCCTAAACCCCACCTAGGCTAACGCGTACCTCCAGACAAATAAAATAACACCCAACACATTAAATCAACATGCAATAACATTCAAAGGCACTTTCTAGCTTTACCTCGATGCATATATAACCTTACACGTTAACCAACTTCTCAATGCACATGCACTTCAAGATACAACCAATTTCCTACACATGCATCCATAATAACATTCCAAGCTATTCCAATCTCAATCTCTATACATGCTCACATCTTTCAACTTCTGACAAACACATGTGTCCACCCCAACCAATACCGACCAGCGTAACACGCCTCAGGCCCACCTCATCGTACGACTCGCGTAACACGCATCAAGTCTACGGCACAACTCGCGTATCACGCATCAAGTCGACGGTCCTCCAGTTTATCTGGGCATTGTTTCGCGTAACACGCCTCAAGACAAATCCAATTCCTCGCGTAAACACGTCTCAAGGATTATAGAATCAAATGTACATTCTCATTCAATTTCATGCCTTTCCCCGCGTCGACACGCTTTAGGGCCTATCGATCATACGCGACATATATCTCGTTCCCTTCACACAACATCCATATGCTCTAATCACATATAAACATGCTCAATTCCAAATCAACAACTCAGCCTAACAAATCCATTCATAAGGACAGCAATGTAGCTCAACCATATCATCCAATCATTCCAACACCTTTCAATCCACAATTCAAGTTATATACTCAATGGCATAAATCCACACATCCCAACATTCAACTCAGCCACCAAACACCACAACTCAGCCACAAGAGGAAGAGAAAACCGACTATAGAGAATCGGGACAAATCTGGGCCAGAGTACAATTCTGGAATTCCTTTTAAAATAAATAGTAATTCAGCTCCAAAAATTATGAATTTCGGATATGTCTTAGACAACATCCTGATGAACATTTGTCATGAAGAACATAAAACCCAGTTCTGCTTAGAACCACCTCTTTTTGTCACCTAAAGTCAAACATAAAATATTTCATTCGGACTGGCCATCCGGGCTTTAAAAATGCATTTCAAGCAGTAACCAAATCTCCTTACAAAGATTTGAAATTTTTATATGTTATAGCCATAAATGTCCCTAACATGTTTTGTGAATGAAGTATTTTGAAAATAGGTCTGGAAAAATTTATAAAAATTTGAACAGACCCGAAGGTCAGAGGAACAGTGTTTCCGGCAGAAAAATTTCGATCCAAAGATGGACTTCCGAATGGCCTCAAATGACTTTCAAAAATTCCCAAATTAAATTATGTTATATGTCATGATGTTTTGAACAACTTTCATGAAGGACATTATCCCAGATTTGGCCCACACAGGTCTCGGAAAAAATAGCAAAACTCGGCGGCACAGTGGTAAAAAAATTCATTAACACAACCAACAAACAAATCTACTTATCTAACCCTTAAACCAACTAATCACAGCCACTAATCAACCCCTAATAAGCCCATTGGTAACCCCTTAACTTAGACAAGATTTAGAATGCCACTTACTCAAAGCCTAAGCAAGCAAGACCAAGCAAGAAGGGCAACACAAGGTCTAGAACAGCAACAACAGAAGTCAGCAAAGGAAGTAGCAACAGAAGGAAGAAGCAGCAACAGAAGTCAGCAAAGGAAGCAACAGCAGAAGGAAGAAGCAGCAGAAACCAGCGGTAGCAGAAGCCATCGAAGGAAGCAAAAGGAAACGAAGAAGAAGAAGAGAAGAAAGTCAATCATGAGGGCTGGTGGGGAGTTAGTGGTGTCAGCCAAAGGGGGAGTCAGCGAGGAAGGGTCAGCAACATGGGGAAGTCAGCAGGAAAGGAGGAGGAAGAGAGAGAAAGGAGAGAGAGAAGAAAGGGGGAAAATGATTATCCCCACAAGAAATATCTTCCACAATTTTTCTTTTGCAATTTTTCTTCAATTTTGTCCCTTAAATTACCAATTTGTCCTCGGCCCGGGTGCCAAATTACGGGTCGACTTGTTCTTATCAGGCCTTGATGACTGGCCTTTTTCGGGTGCGAAGACCAACGACTTTGCTCGGCTCACTTCCGTTTTTCACGTCAAATTTCCGACAAATCCAATAAACCTTAAGGTTGGCCACGCTTATGTGACGTCGTCCAAATAAATTAGTCGTAACACTTCGAGAAATTCGACATCCAAGTTCGGATTCAAATGACGGCCAATTTTCACTCAAATGCGACTTTAGTGCATATATGACTAACGGGCGGCTTTTTAGGGTTTACGCGTATTGACTTGCGGTTACTCAAGTCATGGCAACCTCAATCGTCACCGAAGGCTGACTCATGGTCAAGTTCTTAGGTCTACGTACATTTCCCTAATTCCCTAAAGGTTAGTATCCCGAGAATGATCAGTTCCGGATGAGATTTAACTACAATTGCATTGAAGGATATACACATTTCATTTATCCCAAAAGTGGGTCGAAATTAAGAATGTCACAAGGTTTTCAAGTTTCAGGTTCTATCCTAGAACCACTTCACCCTTACCGAAGAGTGTCCATGCTTCCTAGGCACTCTTTCCACAACGACCTTAGATTCTCATATAAAAGGAAATTTCAGTCTACGTCAAGGGGAGGACATTAGACGCATCACAGAGAACCATTTCTGAAAATACATCATGAATAGAATACCAATAACTAGGGGTATCAAAAATCAAACCGAAAATCGAATCGAAACTGAACCGAGCTGAACCAAAAATCCGTGCTTTTTCGATTCGGTTTTGGTTTCGGTTCAGATAATAAGTAAAAAAATTTGGTAAGTTGATAGTTCGGTTTGGTTTCGATCGGATCTCGGTTTCTTTGTATTTCTTTTTCTTTTTCTTTTTGCAGACACTCTCTCTTCTCACTCTCACCTGTCTCACTGTCAGTGGCCATCCTCTCACCCACTTTTCTTTCTCGCTCTCCCTTTTCTCTCTCTTCCTCTATCTTCGTAACTCTCCCCTCACTCACTTTTCTCTCTCTTCCTTTCTGCTTTATTCTCTCTCTTCCTGACGTCACTCGTGCCTCTTCACGCACCGAGGCCCGAATCGGAGAAGCTTTGCCGCTCAAGCCAGATCCTGGTAACGAGAACCCCGATTATGATGTCTTCTGCATAATCAGAATTCGGCTAGAGGTCAGTACTCTCAGTGAGGCCGAGGAAGTGAGGGGTCCGAGTGGTGTGGAGGTGGCCAATGCGATCCGGGACAACGGAGAGGACCCTAGGGGTGCGGCGGAGGGCCTCGGCCTGGGGGACTGTAAGGCGGGCAGAGAGTAAGTGTAGAGATTCTGGGAATGAGGGTCTGAGGGTAGGAGGGAATGGAGGAGGGAGGAGTACCAGTAGTGGTGGGTGGAAAAGAGGGAGGGCTTGTGGGAGGATGAGGCATGGATGATGAAGGTCTACTGGGGGCTGTGGGGTGATTGCTCTTGTGGGGTTGAGAGAGATAGAGAGATAAAGAGCAGGAGGATGAGGAAGCAGATGGAGGAGTGAGAGAGATTGGCCATGGATGAAGATGACTATTCTTCGATGAGGAAGAAGATGGTAGTCAGGGGGAAGAAGAGGACGACGATGAAGAAGAAGGAGAAGAGGACGAAGGAGACAAGGAGGAGGAAGAAGAGGGACCCTAAAACCGAAAACCAAGCTATGAATAGAAAGCAAAACAAAAAAGAAAAAAGAAGAAAAAACTAAAAACCGAACCGAACCAAATCGAACCAAACCGGTTTTTCGATTCGGTTCATTTTCGGTTCGAACGAGATTTGGTTTAGTTCAAGGATGCAACCCTAATGATTCGGTTCAGTTCGTTTTTCAAAAAAACCAAACCAAACTGAACCATTTACACCCCTACCGATAACAATTGAGAGTAGAGAGACACTCACAAAAATCGATCCGCAGCTTTTTCCAATCGTCCCGTTGTCACCATCCTCAAATTCGAAAGAGCACTAAACGCGCTCTGTTCTCCCCGGCTTCATGGCAGAGAATTTTGAAGTAATTAAGGCCCCGTTTATTTTGCAAAAAATGAATGATTTAAAAAATATTTTCCCAAAAAACTATGGCTTGTATCATTTGAAATAATTAGTTAATGAAAAATATTTTAATTATCGACAACAATTTATATCTAAACATTTTTTCGGACAATGAAAATACTTTTTGTCAATTCATTTTTGTAAGCGATACAAGCGATCATATTTAGGAAAATATTTTCCAAATTATTCATTTTTTGTGAAACAAACACACCATAAATTTTGCTTGAGAATCCCTAACTAGCCTTGATTTCATTAGTTGACATCCGTAAGAGCTTTAATGGTTGATTCAAGCGTTCTTCACAGCTTTAATGCTCTTTTATTGTCCTGTTTTGATTAGAATAAGAACCAATATATCTTGTCTTAGGTTAGTATAGAATCTGCTCCATTTGAATTTGGGTAAGTGATTACGTACATCATGCACTGTTTTCGTAATTAAGTCACGCGAGCTCTATCCAGCACCATGCATCTCCTTGGGTAGTTAACTCATCGGCAATATTGCTGGTATCGTCTATGAGGCAAAATTGCACCTCGGGAGTGTCTAACTTATCATCAAGGCAACCGTATTGCCCATGAGGTGGGAATTATACTTCGAGGCTATCTATTAAGTCTGTATTTATTAGTAATTTGGGCTTGGGCCAATGAATAGCTACTTCACCTATATATATTTCATTTTTCTTGTAATTGAAGGACATAATAAAGAGATGTGATATGCCAATTATAATGAAATCCTCCACTAGACATAGCCCTAGTTTAAGGGCGATACGAGTGTGGGCGAGTGATTCCGGAAATGGGGACTTTTCTAGGTAATGTGTGTGGATGATGGGTGTGTGTGGGATGGTTGTCGATGGGTAAATTGCAAAATACAAGATTGAATACGATCACCACCAAGGTATAAAGGATGCACCACCAACTAAGGATGAGGATTGGGATGGACGAAGTTCACCACCAAGGCTTAAAGGACAAACCACTCGACAAGGATACATGACTTCAGGATAGGAGAAGCTCACCACAAGACCTAAAAAAACCATCAGTCGAGGATAAGGCGCTTCTTGGTTCACCACTGACGAGTAATCCACTCTCTAAGGATAAAGAAATCAGAATAGAAGTAATCCATTCTTAAAAAAATTTCACTCACACAAAATGAAAATCTCATGTATTATCATTCATCAAAGTCTTGACCGCGTTTCAATAGAGAACTATCATCTTTTTAGGGAAAATGACACAAAAAGTCCATGAACTTTGAATTAATGTGCAATTTGGTCCATGAACTTTTAATTTGTTCAAAGTCGTCCCTGGTACATGTTTAATTTAGTCCTTGAGCTGTATGAAAATTTTCAATATAGTCCTTCCATTAATTCAAGTTCAAGGATTACATTGAATATTTTCATGTTGTTCAAGGACTAAATTGAACATGTACCAGAAGTCTAGGGACCACATTAAACAAATTAAAAATTCAGGGACCATAATGAATATTAGGCTAAAGTTCAGGGACTACATTGAACAAATTAAAAGTTCAATGATCAAATTGCACATTGGGCCAAAGTTCAAGAATTGTTTGTGTCATTATCCCCTCTTTATATAGAGGGACTAAGACATAGGAAATCACCAAACATTAAAGAGACATGGGAACTACTCAAATATTTAAGGACTAGAGAACTAGAAAGGAATTAAAGTATGAGAAACTTGGAAAATGTATAGAGACCTGTAATCTTGACTCTTCAGCTTTTGCGATTCACCTTCCAAAACTTGTCCATCAACTTTGACCAAAGGATAATTATCTCAATAAATAAGAAAATGTCATAGGAAATTGCTTAGATCAACCTTCCATTGATATGTTATCGATCCGCATCGAAATCAGCAACTAATCTTGGTGAAACGATACTGAATTGGCTAAGTCAATAATCGACAATAACTTGGTAGTTAATTAGCATCTTCATACCGGACCATCGAAGCAAGTTGTGACCAAAATCAGCTTTGGCTTGGATGAACATTGATTGTGCTAGGCACGTCGATGGAATCAAGTAAGAACTTAAGGAAGATTCCATAGAATCGGATGCTCCCACATCAAAGGGTGAATTGAGATAAAAACCTTGTGTCTCATTTTTTTTTCTCGCTTTTACTCTCTATTTATTTATGATTGTGCGTTGAATCCTAACACTATCTAACTCTTCGCCGATGCAGTCGCATCGCCTCATGAGGCGTGAATTAGCACTAAAATTACCAAGAGCCACCCTACATCAGCTTAATTTGTAATAGGAAGATCATGAGAGGAGCCTGTAAGTCTCGCACATCAAATGATGTGAGCCCGCTTCACACATAACTTGAATTCATTAGCCCAAAGTGATTAATTTGTATTGGTGTTCGAAGAAAATTGTGCTCTAGTTCAACAAAAAGCCCAAAGTGATGAGTACAAATGCACATAGAATCTTTATTGGAAAAAGTCCATGTCAGTGCTGGCCATTCTATGTAATATGGCCGACGTTCACATTAGCGATTTCTAGTCACAATTGGCCAAATGGACTCAATTGGTACAAATGTAAAAGGTTTTGAGACTCAATTGGGCAAAAAAGATGTTTAGAACTGAATTGACATGATTGCAATATTTGATTAGGACTTTTTTGGTAATTTTTCCAAACCTGACCATACGTTGTTAGTATATGGTCAAGGACACCATATACAATACCCAACAAATCCTAAAATGAACCTCTCTCTCTCTCTCTCTCTCTCTCTCTCTCTCTCTCTCTCTCTCTCTCTCTCTCTCTCTCTCTCTCTCTCTCTCTCTCTCTCTCTCTCTCTCTCTCTCTCTCTCATACCTATATCTTGAGTCCCACCGATCATGCACAGTTTCTTCAACCATGTAGTTTACAATCTCCTACCATTACACACCTAATTGAATTCGAGCATAGTTTGCATCGATACATCTGCTCAAAATTCTCATTATACTAGATTGACTGGGAACAATACCAATATGTCCCCTTCCTTCCACATTCCATATTCTCTAGTCCTTACATTCCATCTTGGCTCGAGTATTAGTACTACGCTGCTCCACTTCTGCTTGTTATGACTGAAATGACGTGGATGTTCAGCTATTAAGATGCATCGTTGATTGGACCAGTTGGCAATGGTCCTCACAATATTCATGTTGAACATTTCTAGAGCAATGAGTTGTGCGGATTTTGGTGGCATTATTATCATGTTAACAATGTACTCTTAAAAAAAATTATCTAGGCGTGAATGTGTGAAAAGATAGTGTGACGATGGTATTATCATCTTCCCAATTGATACCAATTAGACAAAACAATTGTACTGGGCACGTACGGTTAGGAAACTTGCAAGTGAAAAACAAAGGGAGAATTATCCAAAAAAATCCCAAATCTATTATATAGTCGCTAATTCAGTTTTAAACTTTCTAATTTGGTCAAAGTAGTCCTAAACATTTTGACGGTTTTCCCATGTAGTTATTTCGGCCAATTTGTGCCGGAAATTGATGGCATGGCGGTCTAGTCAGTGCCAGCCATCCTACGTGATGTGACTAGCAATTTGACATGTATGACAGGGCTCAAAATGGCATTGTTTTGAGAAATTTTCAATTTTTTAATTTCTCATTTTCTTTCTTTTTCTTTTTTATCTTCATCTTCTTGAATTTTCAATCGTCAACGTTGATAGGCCTTCTTGAAGGCCAGCAAGGGTCACGTCTAGATTTATGTGAGGACAAGGACCGCTCGGGGCAAGCAAAAATACTGTCGAGCCACAGACAACCGGTGGAAAAGAAAGAAGAGGAAAGGAAAGGAAAGGAAAAATTGCAAAACTACATTGTTTTGACCCTTGTTGAACATGTATGATAGCCAGTCGACACTGATGGACCGCCACGTTGTTGATTTCTAGCCTAAATTAGCTAGAAAGATTACATTAGAAAATCATCAAAAGATTCGGGACTACATTGACTAAATTGAAAAGTTTACGACAGAATTGATGGCTGTAAAATATGTTTAGGATATTTTGGATAATTTTTCCGAAAAACAAGTTTGCATTAGAAAAAAGAGTTTTTGCACCCCTTAATTACCATCATTGTGTCGCAACTGACTTCTATAAAATAAATTAAGTGATGATTAACAAGATGTCTTTTCTTTCGAATTTTGGCATTTGATATTTTAACAGTCCATTTTCTTCTATATATTCCACTATGTCATGCTTTACTACTTGTCATGAGAGGTGACCAACCAAATTCTTAGAGAATGGTTCCAACTTTCAAGCAAAAAAATCAGCAATGCTTGCCACCAAATGCACCTTCCCACAATAATAAGAAATTAGTCATTTCAGCAGCTGTAAAAAACATATAACAGAAACACGTGTATACTCAAGACAGCGAAAACAACTAATGAAGAGCCACCACTTCCAAAACAAACAATTAAAAGTAAAGTTCATGTAACAGAAATCTTAGTCCCATTGTTGTCATAAACTTCTACTGCAAGAAAAACCTAATGATTTTGCTTGGCATTCCACCTAGTGCTTCAGCAATTTTATTTGTTGCCAAGAACTTAGTTGCCACCATTGCCAAAAGAAAAATAACTCAAAGCCTAAACAGAAGAGAGTTCAATTCACTAGACGTTGGGAGAGCTTTAAGCAAACGGACTACATCCGTCTATCCTACCTAACAACAGTAATCTTCGTGATCAGTGCAATCCACGTGTTACTAACCAAAAATTACTCACATTCCTAAATACTATATTGAAAAAAAAAATACACAGGAAATCATTTATTCATGTCACTCTATTTCACATTAAATGTTCTCGTAACTATTCATTGCACCCAAAACCAAAATCACCAATATGGTAATAAAACAAGAAACAAAAAATCTTAGAAGGAAACGTGCATAAAGTTGTCCTAGCTCAAAATTTTCCAAGGAAACGTGCAGAAATTTGTTCTGTCATAATAATTATTCTAATCACATATGGACCACAAGATGTAAAAATTAAGTTGGGTTTTCCTGGGTGTGGCTAAGAAAAAGATACTTACCCAACATGGGAGATTGGGATATGCATGCATTGGCATGTTAAAATAAAGAACGCATGGATGGAACCTGCCTAGAAATGGGATAGGCCGCCCAGGCCCCTAGTGACGATGAACTCTAGGCAATCCCAAACCACGCCCTAGAGGGAGCTTCCCCCGGCTTGGGATTAGGGAGGATATAGAAAGTGGGACAGAAACCCACAAGAATTCTTAGACTCAATTTGGAAAGTAAGGAAGTCCACAGATTGAAGGCAGCTAATGAGGATGAGAAAGTTTAGATTCTTTCCTTTCAAAACACAATGGCTAAAGGGTGAGTTTGTTTACGAGAAGAAAGGAATGCTTTGATGAAGAAATGCTGAGGAAGGAATAGTGAAAGTGCAGAGAAAGGACGAAATTCTGCTTGATATGCTAGGAGGAAAGGACTAAGACCAAATTGGGGGAGAGAGAGAGAGAGGTACAAACGAAGGGCTAAGAGCGAGCTACGAGACATGTCAGGTACTTCACTTTATCTCCTCTCTCTGTGCTCTATTTTCATTTTGTCTTAACCCAAGTCTGTTGTTATTTTAGTAATTCATGCCTTTTGCTTTTCAACTTTTTAAATTTTATTTGGTAGTGATGCTAGAACAGAAATATAAGACCTTTTTACATTCATGACCGTTCATGAGTGATTAGTATGAGTTCATCTTGCCATGTACTTTGTCTCATCTGGTTCAATGCAATCTAATTCCTCAAGAAATAGGACTCCGATTCCAACTATTTTCATGTGTGGAGAAAAATCTGAGTTCGGATTTGGATTCTATGTGAAATAAATTTACTCATAAAATGTAAAATCATGTTATCTAGCTAAAGTTAGGATTGGGATATCATTCCACTTTGTTACAAGCATAACACTATGAAAAACCCAAGTCCACCATTGAACGCCGCTAGCGGTCCCTAGCCGCCGCCACCGGTTGCCAGCGAAGGTCATTGGCAACTAGACTCCACCATTGGTCAACGGCGGTGGTTGCAGGCTGCTAGACTCTACCATAGGCCACCAGACTTTGTTGCAGGTAGCCAAACTTTGCCATTAGTCCTAAATTGCTGATCGCTAGTATTTGCCATCGGCCGCTGGATGCATTCACTGTCATGAATGACAATTATTCTCTCCTTTGTGACCAAATTTTTACAATCCCAACAATTGAAAAGGAAAGAATGATGGAATCCTTTTAAAAGTTCCTTGTCATGGAACCAAAGGAGACTTTTTTGGTGAATTTAAGAATTATGATATTAAAATATGTGGCATATTTCCTATTTAACCCTCAGGTTACCCAAAGAAAAAACGGCAAAACAACACTACAAGTGCCATAACTTGTGTACGGCGCTCACTTTGGTGCCATAAGTTTTTTTTGGATCACTTTAGTGCTAAAATTTTTGAAAAACGATCACTTAAGTGCTAAAATTTTTGAAAAACGATCACTTAAGTGCCAACTCCGGTGCCGTACACAATTTTTCGCCGGAAATCCGACGTGGCATTTTTTTTATTAATTTCTGAAGCTGACGTGGCTCGCCGGAGATTGGCACTTAAGTGATCGTTTTTAAAAAATTTTAGCACTTAAATGATTGTTTTTAAAAAATTTTAGCACTTAAGTGATCGTTTTTCAAAAATTTTAGCACTGAAGTGATCCAAAAAAAACTTATGACACTTAAGTGATTGTTTTTCCTCCGACTTGGCACCAAAGTGTAACATCCCGAATTTTGGCCCATTTTTGGGATTTATAAAACGTGTAATTCGTCAGTGCGCTTATAATAGAATCTCGCCCGGGAACTGATCACTCTCGGGTTCTTGTTTTTTTTTTAAAATAGAGATTTTGCTAGAATCGCACTCGATCGAATTTGGCCGTTATTTAAGACCCTGAAATTGGCAGTCGATTTTCGGGAGTTTCGGGATGTAATAAATTGGACGGTGTCGATATTATTGTGGCCAGCGTCGAGATTGTCAGGAATAGTGGAAAAGTAAAATTTTGGACCGGGTGCGAATTTGGACTAGTAGACCTCCCTCGCAGTGTGTTTTGGATTATTTGATTTTGGCCATTTGTCCTATAATATTAATTAGGATTTTTGTGGGCCGTTAGATCGTTTTCCGAATTTGAACCGTGTCCGTTGGATCGCGCTCGAGTGCGCGTTGACTTTTTGGCTCTCTTCTCTCTCTTCTCTCCTCTGCCGCGCACGTTCCTTTTTCCCCATGCATCCGTTCTCTCTTCTCTCTCCTCTCTCCTTCTTTCTCTTCTCTTTTCTTCTCTCTCCCTTTCTTTTTCTTTTCTTCTTCTTTCTCTTCCTTCTCCGCCGCGTGCCTGGGTTCGGCTTCACCTCCGCTTCGCTCGCCCGGCCCGACGCCGACCGCCTCGAGCCCGCTCGGGCTGCTGCGCGCGCGCCATCGCTGCCGCCAGCCAGCTCGACCGTCGTGCCGCGCCGTCCGCCAGCCGTCGCCCCCGACCGACCGGGTCTCTCCTCCGCGCGCAGAGACAAAGAAAGGAAGGCTCGCCGCAAGGCGTCCGGCGAGTCCCAGCCAGTCTCCAGCTTGTCCGCCAGCCTACCCGACGCCCGAGCTGCCGCTGTCGCCGCCGCCGAGCGCCCCAGCCGCACCACCCGTCTCGGCCCACTTCTTCTCCTCCCCCGTTCGGCCGAATCTTCGTCGCCCCAGCTCGCCGCCGCCGGTGCCACCGCCCCACGCCTCACCACCATCACCACTCCGTCTCCTTCCCTCTCCCTCTTGCCGTGTCTCTCCCCCTCCTGCTCTCTCTCTTTCTCGGCCGCTCTAGGGCTTCGCCGGAGCCGCCGCTCGCCTTTACTGTTCCGGCGCAGATCCGCCGCTGTCCAGCCGCCATTGCCACTTGCTCAGCCCTATTTGGAGCCTAGGAATCCAAGTGAGTACAACCCTAAACCCTAATTAGACTAATGTGTGTTTCTAGATGGGTTTTAGGGTTTAATTAGGTTAATTTGGGGGTTAAATTGTGGAGGTGATTAGGGGCTGTCATTGTGGCGGATTCGGTGAATTAGTGTGATGAATTAATGGAGGTTTAGTGGCCCGAGAGGCGCTGTACATTGGCTGGACAGGTTTGAATCGGAATGGCCCAAGTTCGAGAAAGTTCGGGTTTGAAACGGGGATTATAGTACGCACCTTATTTGATCTTGTGGTGGCTGACTAGAATAGTGTTTTGGGGAGTCTAATGGAGCATTTTGAGGATATTTAATGGCCTAGAGTGACTGGTGTGGGGGCTGTCCATATCGGGTTTGAATCGGACAAGGCGCGATCAATTTGGGGGTTAGTTTGTGGAGGCTGTTAAGGGCTGATGTTGTGGCGCATTCGGTGGGTTAGCATGATGTTCTAATCGAGGTTTAGTGGTCTGTGGTGTGCTGGATAGTGGCTGAGCGTTGACGCCTTGGTTCGGGTACAAATTGTGAATTTGGCGGGAGAAACTTGTGATCCAAACGGTGCCTGTTATTGTGGCTGATTTAGTGGTTTATTGTGATGATTTTATTGAGGTTTAGAGGCCCGTAAGGTGCTGTGCGATGGCTGGAATTATGGGGTCGAAATGGGCCCGAGTTCAGTTAAGTTCGGGCTCAATTGTGGAGTTTTGTGTGCGCCCCGCATTGTTCTCATGGTAGTTGTTTTGGATGATGTTGTGGGGAGCTAAGTGAAGTAATTTGAGGATATTTGTTGGTCTAGACTGACCTATGTGGTGGCTGTCCATATCGGGATGGATTCGGACAAGGCGCGATCGATTCGGGATTTAATGGCGCAATTACCGGAAATGTTGGATGGACTGAATGGATGGCTGAATTGTCCTTGTTTGTGATTGATTTTGTGGTGCCGTGTCATGTGCCTAGTGGGACTAAGAATGGAGTAGCTTAGCGGGCCTTGAAGGCGCGAATTCATGTTAATCAAATTGTGCGAATTATATGTGTGATTTATGTGCCGTGCAAGAGTGCTTTGAATTGCTTTCATGGTCATGCTAATATGTTGGTTGGGCATATTGAAGTGTGGATTGAGCATATTGTATGGTGAATTGATTATGTGGCGTTGTGCAATCGAATGCTCATTGTGAAATTCGTGAGTGCCCAAGTGTGAACATTATGGCCATAGGTGTACATCTCGAGCATTGGCATGGCATGTGCATATATGAGTGTGCACGAATGACATGAACATGTGATCACCTAAAGTGCCCTGATGCGTTTTACGCGGGGTTCAGATAATAATTTGGTGAATGTGAATGTGTGATCACATAAAGCCCTGAGGTGTTTGACGCGGGGTATTGAACCCGTCCTGAGGCGTGTTACGCGGGACGATGCCCGGACTACCGGAAGATGGCCAAACCTGATGCGTCTTACGCGGGTGTTGTGCCATAAGCCTGATGCGTTTTACGCGGGCTAGAGATCGATCTCGAAGTGATGGACCTGATGCGTTTTACGCAGGTCGGACCTGATGCGTTTAACGCGGGTCGGAGGAGAAATTGATAATTGCAAGTGTGCTAGAGTGCAAGCGTGCGAAAATGCATTGATGAGGCGTGAGCACGCGTATGAGCACGAGCATAAGCATGACATGCGTTGTGACCAAGTGATATGCGCATGTGTTGCGATTGGGTCTTATGTCCTATTCTTGTATTGTAAGTGCCTAACTTGCAGGGCAAGGTGAGTATTGGATTTGGGCCCGAGGGCCTAAGTCAATTATGGTTTGATTGGTGTGTTGTTTAGTGCTCGTCAGGAGGTGCATGTTAGCCTAGCTTAGGTTTAGGGAACCTACTCGCTGAGATTTATTCTCACTGTTGTTGAAAACCAATTTTTCAGACCCCCGGCCTTGAGGATGGCAGGTGTACTGATACGCTTTGGGAGATGCCCCGGTTAGATATAGCACTTGATCGCCGAGCCACGTACCTCCCCCCTTTTTGACGTTGGTGGCTGTTGACCCGCTTTTGATTTTTGAGGTTCATGCTGTATATGAATACTGTAAAGGTTCTCCCTGGCAATGCAAGTATGTATTTGTTTATATTGATGGGGGTGTGGCTATCCTTGGTTATGTGAGTTATTGTTCGGGTGTTTGCTATTTCCGATGTGCTTTGTTCTCTGTTGTTTGGGCGTTGGGTCGGCGACGCGTCCTGGGACGTCGCATTGAATCGACCTTTGTGAGGGATGTGGCGCGCCGTGGGGTTCGGGGCGTGACACAAAGTGATCCGAAAAAAAGTTATGGCACTAAAGTGATCTCCGTACACAAGTTATGGCACTTATAGTGTCCTTTTGCCAAGAAAAAACTATCAACTTTGAGCTATTTTCCTTCCTTGTTTGCTCTTTATATATATATGTGTGTGATTTTTGGGGTTTATATGCTTTTTTATATACATGTAGTCTCCCTTTACCTAATGGCTTAAGTATTTAGATTAGACTTTCTAACATTATATCAGAGCCAGGTTCTGCCTTAATTTATTTTGCATGTATATCCCTACGTTCGTCAAATTACAAATGCCATTTTTTTATCTGGTTTGTACGTGAGAGAGGTTATTAAAGTATTCTACATTGCTTGCCTACTATAGTTGTGTGATCTTTATATACATGAGACTTTCCTTCGCCTAATTATTGAAGTTTTTGGGTTCTACTTTTTAACATGAATAAAATCACCCAAAGAGAAAGTCATAAGAAGCATTAAAGTATACTAAAACTATGCCTAGGCCTGCTTTGTATTGGTAGGTCCCTATTAGTACTTCCTATAAAGTTAATGTTAAGACTCATAATTGAAATAACCGATTGAAATACCTTTATCCCCATTCTAGAATCAATTGTGTTTAAACGGGGTTTGTTTGTTTTGCAGCACCCGCACCGTACAAAAGAGAACTTCGTCCAGCTCATTATATAATGAAGATAGAATCATTTTCCACAGTATCAAAATTGCACAAGTATGAATCCAGGGTTTTTGAAGCTGGGGGCTACAAATGGTGAGTTCTCGAATTTCCTCTTTTTTTTGACATATATTCATCTAAGTAGAGATACAACTTCAATGCTTAATCAACTGATAGATACTTAAACGTCTAATTTGTTCTTTTCAGGAGTCTATCTCTTTACCCTAATGGAGACAAGCACACTAAAGGGTCCGGATACATTTCCTTGTATTTGTCCATCGAGGAGACAAGTAATTTTCCTCCCGATTGGAAGGTTCACGTTAACTACAAGCTTTTTGTGCATGACAAGATACGAGACGACTACTTGACCATCCAAGGTTGATCATCACATAATTTGATAAAGTCAAAACTCCAATTATACCATCATCGTTTAGAATTAACAGCAAAGTTTATCAACTTGTGGAATTGGGTGTAGATGCTGATGGGACAGTGAGGACCTTCAATGACAAGAAGACCCAATGGGGGTTTTCTCAGTTTCTTTCCTTAGAAACATTCCAAAAGGATTCAAATGGATACCTTTTGCATGGCTTTTGTGCATTTGGGGCTGAGGTTTTTGTCGTCAATTCTACTGGGAAAGAGGAGTCTCTTACCATAATCAAAGACCCGCCAAACCAGAGATTCACTTGGAAGATGAAAAACTTCTCCACATTGGACAAGGACCCTTGCTCTTGTGCCTTTTCCTTCGGGCAGAGCAAATGGTACAGTCCCGGACTAGAAGTTTGCAAAAGCCTTTTACCGTTATTAAAATTTATTTTTGTTGCTTACGTCTGTAAATAGAATTGGCCAAAATCTATCGTTGTTTAACTGTGATTATCGTGTGTAGGAAGTTATCGGTGTATACCAAACGCAATGTCCCCACGGAACGGAGGTCGCTGTCCATGAAATTACAAGTGCAAGACCTCCCTCCGAAGAGGAAAGTGTACGCAGAATTCTATATGCGTGTCCGGAACCAAGTTAATGGTAACCATAAGGAGGAAAAAGGTACGTTTTTTGTTTTTGTCTTTGTAAGAGGCGTGTCTGAATTGACTTTTACTTTGTTTTTACTTTTCTCACAACACGCACACTTTGATCTTATGTTATTCCATAAATCTCAAAACTTTTACAAGGTGCAAATATTGGCATGTAAATTTGCATATAACTTAGCATAATCTTTGAATTTCGAATAGTATTTTAAGTTTTGACAAAAAAAGTATTTTTTTCTATTTTACGTTTGCTTAATCCAAAACAAATGGACTCATGCAAATACATATAAGCAATATTATGATCCTGAGCATGATCTTAAAAGGCTTAACTGGTAGCAAGCTTGCTCTCGTAAGACTTTTGGATATTCCCTCTCATCGTGAAAGAAAAACATGTGGTGAAAACTTGGGGAGGGAGGGCCTCAATTAACAGCTTTCCAACATGTAACCAAGGGGAGGTTGGGCGAGGAACTCTCGGGTTATGGTAGGGGTGGGGGTGAGGGTGTCCGGCTGCCGAGACGTTAAACAAGGCGTGAAAACTGTGGAGCTCGCTAGGTGTTTATACCTGGACAGGCCACAATCCCTATCTAGACTCGACCTCCCCAAATACATATAAGCAATACTATTTAAATCACATCAACTTTTTCCAGATTTTTCATAAAAAGAACATCATTTTTATTTTATGAGAAAACTTCAAGTAGCTCTTTGGAGAGGCTCAAAGCCCATCTATATGACTTCTCAACTTGTAAATCTCTCTCTCTCTCTCTCTCTCTCTTCATGAGTCCAAACTGAGTATGAGCATACTAATTGGTGACATGGCTTCATCTACATTATTAAAAATAATTGCAGCTAGTCAATGGCTAAGTGCCTCTTCCTCGAAGGTTTACGATGACTTTATGCCCACGGAGGATCTCCAAAAACGGGACAACGTGTTCGTTAAAAACGATGTTCTGATCGTTGAAGTCCAATTCCTTGTCATATCAGCTGTCAAAGCTTAAGGACTCTGATGACTTACTATCGAACCAGAATTAATTTCTTGAGAACAGTATGTAGCCGTCAAATTGACATTGACATTGGTGCCTCGACACACTGATTCCTCCTAATTTGGTATCTTATTTAATTACTGGATGGAGTATTTAATTATTAAATTTCAAATCTTTTTATCGTGTGGTTGATCTGAGCCTTATGAAGCCTGCCTTTGGGATTCCTTAACGTCTTGTTGGATACCCCTGGATAAACACTCTGATGCCCAAGTAATATGGTATGGGAGAAAGAAGGAAAATTTGAATATGAGTGTGATGCGGCCAAAGTCCCACGTCGGGCAATTAAGCAGATATCCTGAGACTTATGATGGGGTGGGTTCTCTTTCCTGACAAGTTAGTTTTTCGGAATGAGTTTTTTTCACCCCTATAACACATCAGAGTACTAGTTATTCTATATGTTTATAGCTTACTAATCCTCTAGACAAGAGAGGGACTGGTCCTGGTAGTAGCTCATGCTAATGCCTGGTCGGTGAGGGTTAATTCGAGTCAAGTCAGACAACTGGATGCTCCGCGGATGGGTATTTTGGCACTTCATCTTATCCCGGTCACTAGGGCCTTCTTCTAGAAGGCATTTCCTCACAGAATCAATAAAAGTCATCGTACTAATACAGCCAATGGAGCTTTCTTCGTACCAATTCGAGCATCGTGGCAAGTGTTTGTGCCTAGATCATGTTTAGAATGAGTGATCATTGAGATGCGTAATCTTTGTAGGTTAGCAGGAAGCAATTTTTAATATGTACCTCACGTGGCAAAATAACTACATTGATCAACTCTCAATCTATAGAAGACCATACTGAATACAGATCCTACATAAATTCTAAGCCAGTGGGTTCTGTCAATTAGATAGATTAATTGCTCAATTTCACTCCAAACAGAACGGATGAATAATGGGGCCGATGCCCGCATTGTGCTTTCTGCAATCTTCTACATGCATGTAGATTTTAAAACTTTTTTATTGTCTTTACCCCCACAAATTCAAACTTGTAATATTCTTGAAACTATAAAGTTATCTCAAAAGTTGATGTTCAACTTAAAAATTTTCTTAAAGAAAAATATCCATCAAATCCGTTCCTCTATTCATATGAATCGTACATAAGGCAAATGATAGACCAAAGTGTAATGTTGAAACGGTAATGGTTTTCTTGTTTCTCTTTCTTCACTGCCATAACTCAGAGGTGATTTTGAATCTCATACTAAAAAATGTCTTCGAAGTCCAAACACCTTTGTTAAAACGAATAACTAGTATAAGATAATAAATACCTACTTAAAAATTAATGGTTATAACATGATAGTAGTGGTAAAAATCAATTGCCAAAAGAAAGATAAAAATCATTCCCATCTACTTTATTTTGTCAATCATTCACTTAATAACATCATGCAAAAAATATCAGATTAAGCTTGCCGTTCAGATATATACTGTAGTGTCTTTTAAATGGACTTATTGACCTGAATTTAATTTTTTTTCCTTTTGCTAATAGAAAGAATTAAGTGACCTCTTCAGTTCCAATGTTAGAGAAAATATTGGGTACCCTAAGTGATGCCATATCAGCAAAATCATAGTCCACTCAGTGATGGACAAGTGCTGCCTGGGCCCACCTGTGTCAGCTAAATTTTCAGCCCATCTCTTTTCTCTCGATCTCTCTCTTACCCCTTCTCTCTCTCCTCCGCTTCACCCCTTTTCCCTTGTCTGACCTCGAGCCCTAGCCACCGCCATTGTCGGCCATGGCGAAGAGGACCTTTGGAGTCTCCGGCAACGGGCTCACTGCCGATGGATGCTTGTCGCTTCGTGTGCCTCACGGTCGGGAACTACGCACTGAAAATCCCCATCACCGCCAAGCCCGCCAGCTCCACCTGCACTCGTCGTCCTCGCCTTGCTTCCGCAAGATCAAGCTCAAGAGCTTCCCCCTCCAAACCACCATGGTCGCTTGACCACGAGCTCGCAACCATTGTGACATTCCGAATTTTGGCCCATTTTTGGGATTTATAAAATGTGTATTTCGTCAACGCGCTTGTAGTATAATCTTGTCTAGAACTAATCACTCTTGGGTTATTGACCGTTAGGAAAAGGCTAACTGAAAATTGATTACGTGGACCTAAGAACTTGACCATAGTTCGACCGAGGTTGCCCTAGCTCGAGTAAAACTTAGATGTGGCTCGATTTCAAATCGGCCACGAGTCGATACGCGTAACTCCTAAAAGGCACCCGTTAATTTTGAGATTCACTGAAGTCGCGTTTGATCAAATTTGGCTATTATTTAAGGCTCAAACTTGGGTGTCGAATTTCTCGGAGTTTTGTGACAAAATCAATTAGACGATGTCAAAATAAGTGTGGCTAACCTTAAGATTGCCCGGATTTGTCGGAAAGTAAAATTTGGACCAGGTGCAGATTTAGGCCAGTATACCTTCCTCTTTATTTAAATCCTTTTTATGTATTTTAGCCTTTTATTTAAATTTAGAATTGGGATTAATGAGAGCCTTTGGATCTTGGCTTGACCTACAAGATAGAATTTTGGCTCTTAGATCACACTTGAGAGGGCTAGGACCTAGTTTGTACCCCTTCTTCCTCTCTCTCTCTTTTCATAATGTCTTTCTCTCTCTCTCCCTTCACTCTTTCTCTTTCTCCCTCCCTCACGTGGCCGACTCCTGCTCCTCTCCTCTTCTTCTTCTTCTTCTTCTTCTTCTTCTATTTTCTTTTCCTTCTTGCTGGTTCGCTGCTCCTGCTACTGCTGCTTCTTGTTCTGCTTCTTGGCTTCTTCTGGCTACACACCTGACCCACAGCCGCCGTCCAGGTCACCGGAAACCGCCGCTCACCGTCGGAGACCGCCGCTGCCCACCGCACCACCATTTCTTTAATTTCTTGCTCGGTTTGCTTGGGTTTTTCCAAGTAAGTGGCTTGCTAACCCTTAACTAGGCTAAGGGTGACTAATGGACATATTAGGGATGGTTTAAGGGCTGTGGATAGTTGATTTAGTGGCTGGTTGTGCTTGGTTTGCTTGGTGGTGCTTGTTGGTTGATTTTCGGTAAGGTTGCTGCTGCGCCACTGGATTTTACTATTTTTTCTGTTACTTGTGGACGCAGAATTTGAGGAAGTATTCTTCATGAAAGTTGTTCATAACACCTTGAAGTATGACATATATTAAATCTGGAATTTTTGAAGATCATTTAGGGTCATTCATAAGTCCATTTTTGGACCAAATTCAGTCTGCCGGATTTACTGTTCACCCGACCTTCTTGTCTTTCCAATTTTCTATAAATTTTTCCAGACCTCTTTTCAACAAAATTTCTTCACAAAAATCTTTAAGAATATCCGTGTCTATGACATATAAAAACTTCAGAGCTTTCCAAATTGATTTGGGTACTGAATGAGTTATATTTTTTATGGTTTGAGGGGCTGTTCGAGAGAACCGGGTTCTGTCCGGATTTGAGTGTCAAAACGAGGCGTTTACAGTCAGAAATGGATTTCGTGTCCTTCATCAAAAAATTTTATCAAGATGTTTTGTACAACATATCCAAATTTCAGAATTTTTGAAGTTTATTTACTATTTGTTTTAAAATAAATTCGGTGACTGTGTTACTACCCAGAATTGCCCAGAATCACCCATTTATGTGTATACTCGGTTTTCTCATTTTCGGGCAATTATTCAAAGGTGGGGTTATCAATGAAAAGTGTGGCATTTTATTGGCCGAGTAAGTATTCGGTTGGCATGTGACCGATTCTCATAGATAAAAATTGGCATTGAGTGGATAATGTGTGTGCATGATCACATCACGTTCCGTCTAGGTGGGAGTTCTAGACGATGCCCGGCGGGAGTTTGGATGCCGTCTGGTACCCGAAGTTGTCAGGGGGTGTTCGATCCCAGACAATGCCGATCGTGGTAGAGGCCGAATCGATGCTCCTAAGTGGAATGCCGTTGGGTACCCGGCTTGCCGAGGGTGTTCGATCCCCAATGTTGCAATCGCCGATGTAGCGGGACGATGCCTGGTTACGCCAGAAGACCGGCGGGAGTTCGGTGGCCCGAGGGGTCATTAATAACCTGGATACATGTGAACGTATGCTATGCATTGGTGAATGCTCGAAATCCGGAATATGGAGTATGTTTCTTATGATTATGCCATGATTTGAAGTGTGCTTGTTTGATGAGCAATTGGCTATGTTATAGTGATATTCTAACGTGCAGGGCTTGTGTATATGCTGAGGTGAGGTAAGGACGCCTGTGATTGTTTATGGCACGTCGATTGTTCGAATTGCATGTTTTAGAATTGTTCGGAGGTACGCTTTGGCCTAAGCGAGGCTTAGGTAGTTGCTTATTGAGATTTATTCTCATTGTTGTAATATAACCATTTCAGACCCGCGACCATGATTGATTCGGAGACGCTGCCAAGATACTACGGGGATGGAGAATAGGTTAAGTTACCCCGTCTTTTGAGTGCCCCCTTTTGTAGAGGAGTTAAGCTTACCAACCACCCAATCCTTTTTGTTGTGCGTGGTTCGTCGATAGTGGCCTCTAGTAAGGCTTGTACCTTGTGCCGTTTGTAAGTAACATTATGTTCATAAAAAGCGGTTTGTTGATGTATATCGTTCACGTCTCTCTACTACCCTATTTCACTGTATGTTGTATGGTGAGTTCGAATTTGCTTCCGCTCGTGTTCCTCGTTTGAGTTAAGTTGGGTCGGCGACAAGTCCTGGGATGTCACATGCTTGACGACCCCGGAGGGATGTTGCGTGCTTGTTCGGGTTTGGGGCGTGACAACCATAGTTACTCGAGGTCGAGCTCCGTGGCAATGGCGGCCGCGAGCCTCTGGCTCGCGTTCCGGTGCTGGGGATGGAGAAGACATCGGTGATGCCAATTTGGACGAGTTGTTGGGAGGCACATGGTCGTCATCCGCTTTTGGTTTCCATGGAGAAGATAAGGAATTGCAGAGGAAGCGGCAAAGAGAAAGTGAAGAGAGAGTCTTGTGAGGGACAGGAGGGGAGAGACAAAGTGGGCCCCACACACGAGAAAATATTGGGTACCCCAAGTGATGCCATGTCAGGAAAATCATAGTCCATTCAATGATGGACACGTGTCGCCCTGGCCCACTTGGGGTACCCAATGTGAAGATCTTATATTAAAATAATAAGAAGGATAAGGATGTACTCATGGAATTCAAGGAAGAGCTTATTCAAGTTGCCCTAAACAGAAAATATTCGAGTTCGTCAAAAAGAGTTATTGCAATAAGAAATAAAAATACCAATTTGTTATGAAATACATGAATGAATATCATTATATTCATCTTATCAAATGTACCTATTATGGTACATTTGTATCCTACATTCTATGTTCATCTCCCTATCCAATGTATGTATTTATTCAATACATTGACATTAATGATAAGTACATCCTTGTTTTCCTATAAATAGGAGCTTAGTTTTGGTCATCATGCGATGATAGTAAAAATAAAAAAAGTTTCCTCTTGCTTTCTCCACTTAATCTCTCTCTATTCTCTTTATTATATACTTGCAATGTAATATTTTACAACACGTTATCAGCACGAAGATCTACCAACTAAGTAAATAATTTTTGCAAGGTAAGTGTTCTCGTTGTTTTCCTTAATCAACTTATACTTCATCTTCTTCTATCAATTCTTCAATTTTCTTTTTCTTGGTTTGAAACCAATTTCAAATCTAAAAGTATCCTTCTGCTCCTGAAGTGGCGGTGGATATTTGGAAATCCTTCTAATAAATTTAAGGATTCATTTTTTTTTTTTGCAAGAATTATGGCAAATATTGAAAAGCCCAAATTCCACATCTTGGAAGTGAATGGAAATAATTATCTATCCTAGCGCCTTGACATGGAAATGCAACTCCAAGGGCAAGGTCTCACTAATGCAGTTACAGAAGACGGAACCTCAAATGGTAAAGATAAAGCAAATGCTTTGATTTTTATTCGTTGTCATTTGCATGAGAGCCTGCAGACTTAATATTTATCCGTTCGAGACCCTTAAACCCTGTGGAAGAGGTGGAAGGATAGGTATGATCATACCAAGATCGATATCCTCCCTCAAGCACAATATGACTGGCAAAATCTCATGCTGCAAGATTTTAAATCAGTGTCTGACTATAACTCCACTTTATTTAATATTATTTATCGGCTTGAGTTATGCGGTATCAAGCTCACTGATGCGGAATTGTTAGAGAAAACTTTCTCCGCCTTCCATGCTTCGAATATTGTATTGCAACAGCAATACCGGCAGCGTCAATTTGCCACATACTCTAAATTAATTTCTTTGCTCCTCACTGCTGAACAAACTAATGAATTGCTGTTCAAAAATCATGATCTTAGACCTACTGGCTCAAAAGCATTGCCTGAAGCACATGCTAACTCTGAGAAAAATACTGGCCATTTTAAGGACTATAAGCGCAGGCAAGAACATAATCCTCGAAGGGGTGGTGGGAAATTTAACCGCCCTAGGAAATCTAACTTTGGCCCGAATCATGACAAAGAAAAGAAGCCAAAGAAGGTGACTAATGAAAGTATTTGCCATCGTTGTGGCATGACTAGGCACTAGTCACATACTTGTCATACGACAAAGCACTTTGTTGATCTACACCAAGCATCTTTAAAAAATACAGGCAAGTGTGGTGAATCTCACACCATTGAAATTAATCCTACTGCCATAACCACTGTTGAGGCCAATAATATCTCTATTGGTGGGACTCCTCTTGCTTCTGAAGTAGCAAATGCATCCCTGGATGTCTTTGATTTCTTTAAGGACCTCTGATTACTTTGATGAGGCATTAGACTGGTGGATGACAACTTAGACTTCGAATTTTATGATTCTAATAATTTATTTTCTAGTTGCTTTTCTTTAATGTATTACCCTTTATTGTTCTCTAATATGGTTATGTAATGAAATGCTTATGAACCTTATATAATATTTATAATTTTGAAATTTTATTTGATCCTATAACTAAATGCAAATTTTATGATACTTGACACCTAAAGTTGTCAACATAAATGCAAATGGAAAATACTGAGAAAAAGGGAGATGTTTGGTTGCTTGATAGTGCATCAACACATACCATATTTCGTAGTAGACACTTTTTCTCGAGTATTACATTGCGTAAGGCACATGTCCATACATTATCAGGTCCTGTTCCAATTATTGATGGTTTACGGCATGCCACAATTGTTTTGCCAAATGGCACCATCCTGCATATTGAGGATGTGTTTCTAAGTAGTAGATCAAAAAGGAATCTGCAGAGCTTCAAAGATGTACGCCGTAATGGGTACCATATTGAAACTATTTATGAGCAAAGTAAGAAATATATTGGCATTACCTCTTATAAGATGGGCCTAAAGACCATCCATGAGAAGCTAGAAGCTTCTTCTATGGGTTTGTATTGTGTCATGATTAAGGCCGTTGAAACCTACGCCACCATATCCTGGAGATTGGTAAACCTTGATCAATTTAGACAGTGGCATGATCGCCTTGGTCACCCTGGCACTTCAATGAAGCGTAGAATAATTCAGAATACAAAAGGGCACCCTTTAAAGGATATAAAGGTATTGTTGTCCAAAGATTATAATTGCGAAGTTTGTTCACAAGGAAAACTTATTACCAAACCTTCTATAACAAAGGTTAATCTTGAATCCCCTTTTATTTCTGCAAAGAATTCAGGGTGATATTTGTGGACCAATACAACCACCAAGTGAACTGTTTCGATATTTTATGGTACTAGTGGATGCATCCTATAGATGGTCCCATGTTTGCCTGTTGTCTACGCATAATGTCACCTTTGCACGTTTACTTGCATAGATTATAAAACTCCGAGCACAATTCCCTGATTATGAAATTAAAAGCATAAGGATGGATAATGCTGGTGAATTTACATCAAAGAGTTTTGATGCGTATTGTGCTTCGCTCGGAATCGAGGTTGAGCACCCGGTCACATATGTTCATACTCAAAATGGATTGGCAGAATCCTTGATTAAACGTATTCAAATCATTGCTCGCACTCTGTTATTGAGAACGAATCTCAACGATATAGCATGGGGTCATGCAGTTTTGCATGCGGCAGCCCTAATAAAATGGTGCCCGACTGCTAGTCTCTTACAATCTCCCATTCGAATGGTTCTTGGTTATGAACCTGATATTTCACATTTACGCACATTTGGTTGTGCAATGCAAGTGCCTGTAGCACCGCCAAAAAGAATGAAAATGGGTCCCCAATGCCATTTGGGTATTTATGTTGGGTTTAATTCACCGTCCATCATTAGGTCCTTTGAACCAACTACTGGTGATCTTTTTACTGCCAGATTCGCAGATTATCATTTCAATGAGACTATGTTTCCATCAATTGGGACACCTACAACTTCCATGGCTACAAAGCAGCAACAAGTTAAGGTTTTCTCCTGGAATGAGAAAATTTTATCTCAATTAGACCAAAGAACTCCTGAGTGTGAAAACGAGGTGCAGCGCATAATCCATTTACAGGCTATGACCAATAGACTTCCTGACGCATTTAATAATGCTACTAAGGTAACGAAGTCTCATATTCCAACTGCAAATGCTCCAGCTAGGATAGCTGTTCCCGAAGGACAGGCTAAAATGGATCAAAATCCCCCACACTTGAAGACACAGTTCCTCGAAAACGAAGGAGAAAGAATCAGGAATTCGCTCCAGAAGAGCCTGGTGTTGTGCTTGCTCCCAAAGAGCTTATTGCCCCTGAAGAGACACAAACCCATGAAAAGATCACCAACCCTGGGAATACTGAGAATTCCATTACATATTGTAATGTGTTGTGCTTCCATTCCATTCCATTACAAAGAGCTTATTGATGATGTTTTTGCATACTCAATTGCTCATAAAATTATGGATGATGATTGTGAGCCACAATCTATTATTGAATGCCGTCAAAGGCAAGATTGGCCTAAGTGGGAGGAAGCAATTAAGGCTAAATTAGCTTCCCTAGCTAAATTGGAGGTTTTTGGACCTGTAACTTGAATCCCTGATAATGTAAAGCCCGTTGGATATAAATGGGTATTTGTCTGGAAATGAAATGAGAAAACCGAGGTTGTCAGGTATAAAGCCCGACTCGTTGCCCAAGGATTCTCCCAGAGACCTGGGATTGATTATGATGAGACATATTCACCTGTGATGGATATGATTACATTTCATTTTCTCATTAGCTTGGTAATCTCTGACAAATTGGAAATGCGTCTTATGGACATAGTGACGGTATATCTATATGGCTCATTAGACTCTGATATTTATATGAAAACTCCCGAGGGATTCAAAATGCCTAATGCATGCACTCCTCGCAACTTATTCTCAATAAAATTGCGAAGATCTTTGTACGGGTTAAAGCAATCCAGTCGCATGTGGTATCAACGCCTAAGTGAGTACCTAATTAAAGAAACGTATAAGAATGATCCTATCTGCCCATGCGTGTTTATTAAGAAATCAGAAACCAAATTTGCTATTGTAGCAGTTTATGTCGACGATATAAATTTAATTAGAACTCCAGAAGAGTTAGCTAAAACATTGAGTATTTGAAAAGGGAGTTTGAAGTTAAAGATTTGGGTAAAACCAAACTTTGTCTTGGTCTAGAGCTTGAGAATAAAGCAAATGGAATAATCATCCATTAATCAGCATACATTGAAAGACTACTTAAACACTTCAACATGGACAAGGCTCACCCACTGAGCACCCCTATGGTTGTCAGGTCTCTAGATCCCCAAAAGGATCCGTTTCGTCCTAGAGAATCTGATGAAGAGATACTTGATCCTGAAGTACCATATCTCAATGCAATTGGGGCTTTGATGTACTTGGCACAATGTACGAGACCAGATATCGCTTTTAAGGTAAATATATTGGCACGTTTTAGTTCTTAGCCAACTCGGAGACACTGGAATGGAGTTAAACATATTTTTTGTTATCCCCGAGGAACCATAGATTTAGGATTATATTATTCCAAGGATTCCACTACCCCTAGTTTAGTTGGATATGCTGATGCTGGAGATAGATCTGATCCACATAAGGCTCGCTCTCAAACCGGTTATTTATTTTGTTATAACGGCGCTGCCATTTCTTGGCGTTCTACGAAGCAATTGCTAGTAGCTACATCTGCTAACCACTCTGAGATTATTGCTTTTTATGAAGCTGGAAAAGAGTGTGTTTGGTTAAGATCCGTTATAACGCATATTCACAATTCTTGTTGTTTAATACTGGTTACAAATTCTCCCACTATAATTTATGAAGATAATGCTGCTTGTGTTACACAAGTTAGGGGAGGATATATCAAAGGTGATAGGACCAAGCATATCTCACCGAAATTTTTCTATACTCACGAACTCCAAGAAAGTTGACAAATTGATGTTAAACAGATTCAATCCATAAATAATCTTGCAGATCTTTTTACCAAATCATTGCCAACATCAACTTTTGAGAAATTAGTATATGGCATTAGTATGCAGCGAGTTCACAAGATGCAAGATTGACGAGCCCCAACAGTGGCTATATGGCTCAATTGAGGGGGAGATATTATGAACTATGCATTGCACTCTTTTTTTTTCTGTCCGATTTTTCCCACAGGGTTTTTCCGGCTTAAGGTTTTTAACGAGGAAATTAATGCATCTATAAAAGGGAGAGATCATAAAATTTGTGCTCTGTACTCTTTTTCCCTTTTGTCCGGTTTTTTGTCCCATTGGGCTTTTTCGGCTTGAGATTTTTAATGAGGCGGTATCATTCAATGCACATTTGTAATATAATGAATACAATGAATATTCAAGGGGGAGTGTCATGAAATACATGAATGAATATTCATTATGTTCATCTTATCAAATGTACCTATTATGGTACATTTGTATCCTACATTCTATGTTCATCTCCCTATCCAATGTATGTATTTATTCAATACATTGACATTAATGATAAGTACATCCTTGTTTTTCTATAAATAGGAGCTTAGTTTTGGTCATTATGCGATGATAGTAAAAATAAAAATTTTCTCCTCTTGCTTTCTCTACTTAATCTCTCTCTATTCTCTCTATTATATACTTGCAATGTAATATTTTACAACACAATTGACATAAATTTAATATCTATGTTATTTTACATTTTTGACGTGTTTGATAACCACTAAAATAATTGTGAATGGCAAATTAAAAGCAAAGCGAAATGCAAAAGCAATCAAAAGTATTGTATGTACAATTTTTGTTACTTCTAAAAGTTAATTGACCAAATAGCCCAAAAATATAAGCAGGATCTCTAACTTAAATTGGCTGTTTAATAAGAGTATCAAAGGCTAAACTTGTCCATCACAATCCGTCCGTGCATATAATACTTTAAGTGATACATTTCAAATTTCACTTTTAAATCTCCTTTTCATCTTATAATATTTAAGTTTTTCGAAATTATTGAAATTCTACGATACTCTTAAATTTCTTTTCATACCTAGAACTCTATTTTACTTTTTTTGGTTACATACAACTTACTGTGCACATCTTCTCTAGTATATAGAAACAACATTGAACTTAAATAGTAGATGAACCCATAAAAAGGTCGATGTCACTGTTTAGTGAAAAAAATTTCTTTCGGGTACGTTTGATTTAATCTATGAGTTTTTGACCAATATATGTCTTATCCAAACTTTTTCCTAAACTAGACTTTAAGAAAACTAACATATTGCACGTATTGCCGTAATTGCAAGAACAATGAGAAAGTGGCAGTAAAAATTGTAAAAGCGGCTTCGATCATTTTCGATCTAAATGGAATGT